CAACCTCAATCCCCAACCTCCATTACCCCTAACCCCAACCTCCAACCCCTAACCTCAACCCCCAACCTCATACCCCAAACTCCAACCTCTACCTCCAACCGTCAACCTCAACCCTCGATCCCCAACCCCCAACCTCATACCCTAAACCTCCAACCTCTAACCCCCCATCCCCAATCCCCAACCATCAACCTCAACCCTCAACCTCCAATCCCCAACCTCATACCCTAAACCTCCAACCTCTAATCCCCAATCCCCAAGCCCCAACCCCCAACCCCCAACCCCAACCTCCAACGCTAACCTGGAGGTGCAGGGTTTTTTATGTTAGGGATTTCCTTAAACTAGAGGTACCACTTCATCAAAGGGCATGCCACTCAGCTGGACCATATCAGTCATCTAAATGTATGCAATGGGCTCACCTGGGTACCCTTCCCTCTATAAATAAAGTTAAAGTTAATTTAAGTTAAGTTAAAGTTAAGTAGGCCAAGAGAGTTGACTAAAGACAGTCAAACGAGCTGAGAAGCTGGAATGAGGCAGCCACAGCTGGGGAAGATAGGACGACTCCTTACTTGAGTCTGGTGATGATTTCTGCTTAGGTTGTTGAAACAGTCACTACTAGTGACAACATTCTTTCTCAGGTTTATACTCTCACCTGGACTATCAGACTGAATGATCAAATGTCATCTCTGGGTTCAAACAATATAATTTAACCATTATATTTATTAGAATGTTATAGTACAGGAACTGACTATGGAGAAACAGTCTGGTGTCTATGAAAGAGTAAATTTGCATCGACATATCTTTTTTCCTTTTTGTTTTCAAGGTGGCTTAATGGACTTTTCAGTAAAGGATACGATAGGCGCTTGGAGCCATATGACTTGTATCAAGTACTCAAGGAAGACTCTGCAGAAACATTGGTTGCAGATTTGGAGAGGTTGGCTGGAAAAAATTAATGATGATGTATCTTTTTTTTTTCTCAGAAAAAAAAAAAAAACCAAGCAGGCCATGTTAAAGAGGTGAAATGCAAATATCAAAAGGTTTGAAACATGTAATGGATCCATACTGAGAAACTTTAGTTAACTGATAAACTCCATCTGAGTGTTACAACCTGGAGAATGTATCGGCCTGTGTATACAACACCAGTGAGTGACACATAAACCCTCAGACTGGCAGACATTTCCACTCAAATCACATGATGAGTTGTTTTTTCACTTGCAGACCCTTCTTGATTTCTCACATCCAGGCAATTGTGCTTTATGTCATTGACCAAATTATTCAAGGTTTTTTACCATCTACAGTTTTTGTTTATCCAGACTTGTTGCTTGTATCCATTTTTAGAAAGTGTTGAGTTTTGCTTCTTTTTGAGTGATCTCTATGATTTAATTTTTGTAGTGAGTGGTCCAAAGAAGTTGCAGCTGCAGCATTTTCAGCCAGAAAACCAAGTTTGGGTAAAGCTGTAGCAAGGTTTGCTTTTGTTGAGCTGATCTATGTTGGTGTGTTTGGCTTCCTTAATGTAAGTTGCTTGCCCTTTCAAAATATCCAAATATCCAAAAACAACTTGTTGTTCCATCTTTCAGTATTTGTAGTAATTTTTCCATCATTCTGTATTTTAGAATTTGAGTTTATTTTGTGCCATTCTTTCTTTTAGGATTTGGGGTGATTTTTCGCTGTTCTGTTGTTAGCTTTGGGGTGATTTTCTGCTATTCCATCTTTTAGGATATGGGGTAATTTTCAGGCACTCCAGGATTCCATCTTTGAGTTGTTAAATGTGGCATATAAGGTTGCCCATAGAATTAGTGATGTGCACATGCTGTAGTAGCTAGGAACAAACTGATCTACATCAACATTTTAGGTCAAAAAAGATTTGTTGGTGAGCTTTAATAACTTTTGGCAAATGCAAGCACTGATGTATAGTGATTTAAATGATGCATATTCGGTTTTATTTTTGGCTCATTAATATTCATATTTTTTATTATCTGAACTCTTCATTATCCAAACTATTGAGTTCAGTCCCCACAACTCTGGATAACTTAGGCTCAACTATAGTAGAGAAGCAGATTCTGGCATGCAAGTTTACTCATGTAGTTGTAGCAAATGACTTTCAAAGTTGTGTTTAGGTGTCAAAGGTAATATATTTTTCACTGTTTGCAGCAGATTTGATTTAAAATAATAATTAGGTTACAAGTTTCTGTCTTTTTTCTTTCTCCTATACAGGAAAGCATCAGGACTGTTCAGCCTATCTTGCTGTTTTATCTTGTGTCATATTTCATTCCCAACTCAAGTATCACAAAGTTAGAAGCTTATTTCTATGCCATGGCTGTTACAGTTGCCTCCACACTGTCTGTCATTCTTCATCAACTGGACTTTTTTAATGGTCACAGAGCTGGAATGCATTTAAGAATAGCAACAACTGGATGTGTTTTTAGAAAGGCAAGTACTTCATTATGCAAATATTAATTAATATGTAATTTACTGATCCTTACTTAATGGTGTTCATATTACATAACCTTAAGGGAGGTTGACTCTGACCTGACAGGCCTTTCAATATAGTGGAATGTGAGGTTTTTTCCTTTCTTTTTTTTTTTTTTTTTTTTTTTTTTTTTTTTTTTTTTTTTTTTTTTTTTATTATTTTAAATAGAGTGCAGTCATATGGATCTTACAGTCTCTTCAACTTTTCTGTCTGAGTTATAGCCACTGCTGTCATTTTAGATGTGCAACAATAATGGTTCATAATCTTTCAGAATTTTCCAAATACCACTCATAGATTGGCAGCTCTCAGTATTTTGGACAATTTTGAAACATCACTTGAGCTATTATTGCCTAATATAATAATAATAATTTAAAGAGGCTAGCTTGAAAGCTGGTTTAAGACTGCATGTGGGTACTGATGTGGCAAAATTTTTATAGTATTTCAAAAAGAATTGGAGGTTTCATAATGATACTAGAAGGTAGTGTTGCAGAAGATTTGTCTCAAAACAGAAAAACCTGCCACATGCACATCACACATCTATGTTCCATTAGCAAAAGATGATCTAAGAATATGATTTACATTCAAACAATAATCAAATGGTGAAAAATAATCATATTAATTACAACAACAATAATTATATTAACAGTCTGTGATAACAATAGTAATGGTAATGATAAGTTATTGGGGTCAGCTCAAGAACCTCAATGTTGCTCTTTTGGTTTATCCTCTAGGCACCAATTGGGATTAAACTGTGCTTTTTTTAAATTTGCGGGTGAATTATAAATTATTTTCTTATTTCATGGCATTCCATTTTTTATTTCATACAACAAGGCATGTTCTGGTGTTCCTGTGTTCCGAATTTTAGTGCATGCCATTTAGCAGCTCCTTTGAGCAATAGTTGTTGATTGGAGTGGTAAAATGCTCTCTCTTCAAATAAATAACATTTTTTTTCAAAGTCTCCGTGATTTGCAGATCAAACCTATTAGGATGTTTCTGCAAGGAAAGTTATGTTTTCAATTAAGTGCCAGAGATGCCACTGTGAAATTATTTTGAGATGTTTATGATCCCTTGTATGCAGCTGTCACAACAAGAACTAAAAAAAATTATCTCAACTCATTTTTGTTTGTGTGCATATTAGTCTTTAAGACTGGGTCAAGGAGTCATGACTGGTCATGTAGTCAATCTTGTGTCCACTGATACACAGAGCTTTGATCAGGTATGACGTATAATTTGGTTGTTGTTAATTTCTGCAGGCTTGTTTTATTTTTTGTCAGTTTTACTTTGATTGAAAATGAACATTTTTTTAAGTTGTTATTTTATTCATGAATTCATGAATTATTGATCTCTGTTTTTCTGTGTTTTAATTCAGTTTGTCAGCTATTTGCACTTTCTCTGGATTACTCCTGTTCAAATGGTTGCCACAATGTACTTGCTATGGATTCAATTGGGAGTTTCTTGCTTTGTTCCTCTGGCAATTATGCTTCTCCTAATTCTTTATCAGTCACATCTGGGTAGAGTGTTTGCAATTTTAAGGTAAGAATTTACCATCTAGAGTGCTGAGTCAACTGTCAGCTTCTCATTGGCTGTTTTATAAATGTAAAAGTATTAGTAATATCTTTTATTATTCTTTTACTTATAATTCCTGAGTGGAAGGTTGCTGTTTGATAATTGCCATCATAGTAATGTTGGAACTATAGATGTGGACTGCATGATCTTAACTTTAGTCAGAATTAGGTCTATCTAAGTAACTCAAATGTAATGAATAAATATAACAATGTTTCTCATGGGAGATCTTTGAAAAAGTTTAAGAGAGCTTGCTTATTCAGTTTCAAATTATTAGGAACACTGCAAAATATGTGTTGTGGTGTGAGGGATGTAGGGTGAACATTAAAAATGTGAAAAAAAAGATTCAAATAAGGGAGCTAATTATAACTGGAAGACATTGAGGTGCAAAACATGAATCAATTGTGAATGAAGGATTTTTTGAGATTTGAAGACTGATGAGCTGCCAAATCAAGTCAGAAAAGCTAGACATGTAGACTTACAGAGCACAAATGACCCATACAGGGGCCCCGAACTCAATACAACCAAGTAGCCGTATTTTGAACCAAGTGAAAGGGTGTATGTTGCAAGTTTAGCTCTTTTACTGTAAATCAAATTGAAGGAGTGTTTTTTTTTAACTACATGTACCATTTGCGACTTAAGTCGAGGTAAATAATGCATATTTAAATGCAGGCATGCAGGTGTAAACAGTGTACATCACAGTGTTTGACAAAAACAGCAAATAAAATACATTTAGCGTTCTGCAGAGAGAAAGATACTTGTAAATTATGTAAACCAATTAATGTTTTGCTTTGACATTTGAGTAATATTGGTTAAGTCTGTGGTGTCAAGAATGTTTCAAATTGAACATGTAATCAATATTTGGTAATTAAATTTAAAAATTATCAGTATTTAACCTGCAGTTTCCCTCTAGACTTAAAACAGCAAGGCTGAGTGATGAAAGATGCAATAGAATGAATGAAATTATATCTGGAGTAAGGGTTGTAAAGATTTCCACTTGGGAATTGTCATTCAGCAAACTAATCAAAAACTTAAGAAGGTGAGTGAGAAATGTCCCAGTATCATTGCTAATCAGGAGTTAATGTAGACATCTATATATAAGCTTGAATGTTTAAGGTTTAATTTTGTTCAGAAACTTATATAATTTACAAGTATGTATTAATACTTAGTAATTATATTTTAGATGTGCCTTGTTGCTCATTACCTAAATGGTAATTCTGATCAATAGCTCTGAACAGTTACTCTCTCTTCTGTAGCTGTTTCATGTTTATTTGCCTAAAATATTAAGATAATATCTGGGTGATTAACTTGTTTGTTTTCATCTGATCTAGTAGTTGGATAATTTATTGACGATTATTGTCGATGAGTGCTTGTCATTCTATTCTGCTTGTGTTACAAGTATTATTTATAATTAAGGTGACTTCTGACCAATATCTATATTTTCATAAATTCAATCACATTATAATATTGTTCTTAGTTATGCATTTTACTGTGTAAGATAAATTGTGTGCATTGCAGTGATAATGTTATTCCAGTTTATTTTCCACTTGTAAATTTTCACAGATTTGAAATATCAAAGATTAGGAAGGCTATGTTTCTGCGCGCCCTCAACATGGCTGTGGATTTTGCCTCACAGAATATCATCAGTTGTATAACTTTTGCTGGTTATGTGCTACTGGGAAATACATTGACTGCTGCCAAAGTGTTCAGCTCCATTGCTTTTTTAAATGCCCTCCAGAGGTCAGTGACTAGACATTTTCCTCCAGCAGTTCAGAAGCTGAATGAGGCAAAAATAACAGTGAAGAGAATCCAGGTGATTGTGTCTAGCTTGTTATGTACATCTTGGTACATTTAGCTTTCGTTTTATTTGCATTCATGAGCAATTGGTTCATGCATGGGTCAACATGAATTAATCAAGATATGAAGTTTGAAAGGCACAAAAGATGCAAAATACAGTAGTTACTCAAAGCATAGTCTAGAGCAATTTTTGCTCTTTGACTGCTGACTCCAAACTTCATATCTGCTTTTTCTTTGAATGAAAACTCAGCTGATGCATCATAAAAGTTGGTTTAAATAATATTTTCAACACAGTTGATAACAACCAGTTAACAACCAGTTAACAACCAGTTAACAACCATCACAGGTGGTTATCTACAATTATATACAGATAACAACAAACATATGAAACATATGTGTGAACTGCGGTTATGAGACGTATATGAGAACGATCCTTCGCAGTAAAGCACTATTTGAGCAATAGTGAAAATCAGACCTGAAAAAAATTTCAGGTCTATATATACAGATATACAGATGCTATAGGTTATATATGCAGAGGTTATATATATATATATACAGATGCTATATACAATTATTTTCAACAATGTAGAACAAATTGAGATAATCAAGTAACGATAGAACTTGTTTTTCTTTCAATTACCTGCATTCACTCGATCTTGCTAACATCTAAGAATATAAGGTTGTTTCCTATGCAATTGAGTGTTAAGGCCTAGTTTGTTTCATGTGGATTTGTGACCGTTCTCACTGCTCATGTTGTTTTTGTTTTTGTTGTGTTGCAAAATAGGTCCTATTGTCAATTGATCGCCTTAATTTGCTTAACTTAGTGGTAGTTAAAAGAAAAACTGTATTTCAGTTCCTGGGACTTGATAACAGTGACCCATGACCCTTGACTGTGACCTCTAATCTGCATTTATGAAATACTGTCAGACAATTAATCTCAACACATTTGAAGGCAATTCAGTTGTGTAAGGTTAGGTTACTCTTTTTCTTACCCATGTGTGTGATGTGGGTCTTGCCTTGAACTCAGTGGGGGTAACAATTTATCTTGTTAAAATTTTATTTTCTCTTCAGTTAAATTTGCCATGTTTAATTAGTTTTGTTTGATGCTTTCTCTCAAGGAATTCTTGGAGCTGGATGAATTAAGCTTTGAAAAAATACAACAAAAGTCAAATAGGTCAGGAAAATCTGGTGTGACTGTCCACAATGTGACATGCAGTTGGAGTCAGGTTTGAGTGTTGATTTGATTTTTTGTGAAAAATGTTTTTTCACTTATATCAAGTGATGTATATTTATTTGACTTCGTCATAGGAAAGGATTGATAGATCTACTCTACAGGACATCAGCTTTAAAGTAGGCATGGTAATATTATCTTATTATTTGTCATAAAATTATCTGTTAATTTAGCTGTGCACTTTTCAGCATTGAACCAGAGGAAACAATTGATAATGGTAACTACATTAATTTTTTCCTCCCATAGATCATAAATAAAAACCTATCAAAAATCAATGTATAATTCAGTTCATATTATACAGTAATGAATGCTCTATTTTTGTATGGTAATAGGGAGACCTTTGCATGGTTGTTGGACCAGTTGGTTCTGGAAAGGTATTATGGTTATAATTTGTGGTGAACACTGAATTAGCAACATATGTAAACAGGTCATAGTTTTGATGGTACATCTTTGTAAAATTTACTAACATGCCTTTGGTTCTCTATGGGCTGTCCCTTGGCCACAAGTATTTCCAAATGTTACATAAAATAAATAGTGTCACACTAAGAAAAGGGTGTAGTTAGAGGGAAAGTATTGACCCTCCCACTATATCTTCCTCAAACATAACAAACACAATCAGTCCATTTTCAAATATTTTAGGAACAACCCTTTTTTTTCCAAGATCTCACTGGTAATTATTTTTACCGTCTGCCATACAATCCTTTTGATGTTCATTAATTTGGTCCTGGATCTGCATTGATATTTCTTGTTATTCTCCAAACTTGTCTAGCTGATCTTGTATTGATATGGTAAGGTGAAATTCTGTCTTGTTCACTCATTGGAGTTTGTAGGGATTTATGTGACATGAATGCATGGTGTGCACTTCACTGTAAGTTATTTGGTTTTAAATCAAGATGTTGGTATAATTAATTTCTCTATAGTCTTCATTGTTAATGATGTTGCTGGGTGAGCTATGCATCACTGATGGCAGCCTGCAGATCAAAGGGAGAATTGGTTATGTCCCACAGCAAGCATGGATTTTCTCTGGATCAGTGAGACAGAATATTGTATTTGGACAGACATTTGAGGCAGACAGATATGATAATGTTATCAAAGTGTGTTGTTTAGAAAAGGTAAAACTGTTGCCTTCATTTCTTTTGATATCTTTGAAACTACTATGTTGCTGTGCTCTGTTTTATTATTACTTGTTGAATGATGGTATCAGCACTTATTTTTCAAGCATTATACCCAGTTGTCATTTAACTTCACCAAGATCTTTTTGCAGTTATATACAACTCCACAGACTCATTTCTATAACTTTCACGTTGCTGGCTTTGTAATGAAAAAATTTAAGGAATACACTTGATCAAGTTCTAATGTATGTTGTAAGTTTCCATGAAGGGGCAATTGACTCTCGTGAATGTCTTTTAATAATTATTCCACCACATTTTATCCAAAGAGATAGGAGGCCTTCCACACCCTTTGGAAGAAACCCTCCACCACTAAACTACATCCTGTTATGATTATAGGCCGGGTTTCTGTAACATCCTCTCAAATAATTTTTTGGATGCCACTTTTCTCTTGGTTCACTTAACGTAAATATGCCATCTGATCTATCGTAACTAGAAGAAGGCAGACGTATTTTCTGTAGAATGAAAATTTTGCTGAATAAGTCATATAATGCCAATTAAGCAACTTACTGTTACGATGAATATATGAAGTTCATATATTTTGAACTGCGGTTATAGATACGTATGATGCACGATCCTCGCAGTAGAGAGCGCTATTTATGCAATAGCGAAAATCAGACCTGAAAAAAATCAGGCCTGTACGGGATGCGAACCACTGACCAATGCGATACTAGTGCAGCGCTCTACCAATTGAGCTAACAAGCCAACTGGGAGCAGGCCGTT